CGATTAACACCTCCAAAATTTGAATCTTGGCGCCTTTTGGAGGGAAATCTGCCTGTTTCCAACTGTTTTGAGCTCTGTTCGACTTCTGAAACTTTCTTTTGAATATCACAACCATGAAAATGCTTGTGAAAGCCTGAATACTGCTTTCTGAGCTGAAAATATCCTGCAAAATAAAATAAAATCGGTCACCTGACCGTTGGGCAAAACAAATGCCAGAGACTCAGATGCTCGTTGTTCAGGTTCCTGCACTGAGATGAAAACTGAGCCACAGGAAAACCTTGATCCCCTGTCTCAAGAACAAATACTATGCAAAAATGCAGAAATGCGAAAATGCAAAGAAACAAAAGGCAGATACTGCTAAAATGGAAAGACAATTTTTAGGGTGCTACACTGATTACGGAGATATATCTCCGGTTCCGCACCCTATTATCTTGTTCCGGAGATGCATCTCTGGAACTTCTCCTGAACCAGTTCCAAAATATAACATTTAAAACAAAACCTTATTTTTTTTACAAAAGAACAAATGTTGTGATGGAAAATATCAAAAATGTATTAAAATACAATATGAACAAATGTTGAATATATTACACTTCATTTATATTGAGACACAATTACATGCACTTATTTGTCCGGCTAAACAAGAAATTAAAATGAATCGAAACATTTGTCGCTAGCTAAATCTATGGGTGATACCCCCTTGGTCTTTTGTGAATTGGATTCTTTTTCAATGTTGTTCAACCTTTCGAACTCTTACATCATTTCCATAAAATGATCTAGCCAAGTCTCGGCTTTTGTTGTTGAATAAGTCGTCCACTCCGGTGATCCAAGTGGTATAGGGCATCACAGTTTCAACTAAACTTGAACAAAACAACTTGATTTTGAAAGCCACCCAATATACATAATACAATCATTTGGATTTTGAGGTGGGGCGGTGTGCAGTGGAAAAAAGGTTTCTGAAAAAATTGTATCGTGTCAGATCAACACATACTCTATCATACAGACATGCTATTAGGTGACCCATTTCAAGGAATCACATCCAATTTTTTCCTCAGTGTCAAACCGCTAAGGCAAGGAACAAGTAACTTATAAACTTCGTCGAATTTTTCTTTCTTTCCGTTCAACCGTGTGTATGATTATTTATGTGTCTTCAACTCTTGGATAAGTTGATGGCAAATAAGTGTATGATTATCTTCTCCTTTACCGAGTAAAGCCAAAACTACTCGATAGCCGCAATTACCGTCACCCATAACATTGATGATCCGCTCGATGTATTTGTGGCGTAGGAGGTGGTTTGTTAATGCGAGCTCCTTTGACAACACTTTTTTGAGATTTTGGAGTTGGAGAGTCGGGAAAAACTTTGTTAACATGTTCAAAATATGAAGGAGACCGTGTATTCGAATTGTCATTCAGTGTATGCTTCATTTTCTTCGGAGCAACTTTTGTTTTTATCGGTTGAGAGGACGGTTTCATGTTGGTGGTTTTCGGATAGGCAATCTTAATTGTTCTTTGATGTGAAGTTTTATGTTGTCATCGGCTTTCAAAAATCTCGTATCACTTCCCATTTGGTCAAAATAAAGATATTCAATTTATTGTCCCAATCTCCTAATTTGTTCTTTGATATGGAGTTTCATGATGTTTGTATCTCATTATGTTGATTTTGAATCATGTGGTTCACGGAGTCCCAATCTCTACATAAATTGCCCTTACTATTTCTCAACCAAATTTTCAAAGTAGCATGGGCAGACTCAACTCTGTTAGTTGTTGTATTTCCAAGGTGTCTAACATTATCAGTTCATGCACAAACAATTTTCTCCTTCACCTGGTCAAGAATTTTCTTTCAACATGTTTCAACAAAATGGATACTTTTCAGACACTTTCCTGAAATGCATAACAGAATCGACATATAAATCTTTTGTGGAAGAATTTATTATACAATTTCATGCATCTATTATTTTTTCCACAACCACGCCCGCCTTCACCATTTTTTCATCTTCAGACTCTATCTATTTCGTCCTTACCGCGGGTTTAACCTAACTTCTCATATTCTTTGTTATGTGATACCAACAAAATAATACATTAGAAGAAGGAAATACCTTTGCAACCGAATTCATCAAGGTGATATCACGGTCGATAACAATCCCTTTAGGCATCTCACTTTGGTCTTTCAATAATGTCTGACACACTTCTAAGGCCCAAGTAAAATATCCCCTTTTTCACACTCAAGAAATGCAAACCCAACTGAATATGTCTTCTCAGTTGAGGTAACGCCAACCATCCCCAATAATGGAAGTCTATACTTGTTGGTCTTGTAGGTTGAATCAAGTATGAGCACAATAGGAAACGTGTTGAACAAATTTATGGAATCACGATGAGTCCAAAATATATCTCTAACAGTAACTTCATCCTCGCATGTTCGGTACCTAGACATGTAACTGTTATCATCCAACAGTTTCAAGAGTTGTTGCATTTCTGTTATATTCCCCCTAAGCGTCTTTTTATTTAGGTACCAAACATTATAAACTTGCTTGATATTTGATGTATTTTCGGATCTTTTCTATTTCAATGTTACAAGTATATTTTTCGGTTGAATCAGATTCAATACCATGTCAGCAACGCATTCCTTCTCTTCTGACATGAGCCAACACACACTAGGATGACCGACTAATTTTTCATATAAATCATGGTTATGCAAATCACATATCACATTAAATCTCTAATTTTTGTTTGTCAACATGTAACCACACACCTTAAACGGACGCTCACATTTTCTTGAACCAGCGTTGTCTCTTTTAAAATTTCGGAGAGTAGTTTTATATTTCCCGTTTCTTTTGCACGTCATTGTCACAAAAACGCATCTTCTATTCAAACCATTATCGGACCTTCTGATAACCACACAAAATCCAAGTTTATAGGCCTTCATACGAATCCATTGAAGCATTTGATCACGAGATTCAAACTCTTGCTCGTTTTTAAATTGGTTGCCAATATTTACCGCCTTCACAACAACACCTTGGACATTCAGAGAAACAACTTGTTTTCGAAAAACAATAGGGTGCACCATATTTAATGAAAACAATTACAACATAATAGTATATAAGCGCCATTGTTGAAAACAGACCTAAAAAATAAACACAGACTAATTTCAGAGATGCATCTTCAAAAAAATTCATACTTGTTTGGAAGATACATTTTCAGACACAACCCTTGTTTTTTAGACAAAATGCTTGATTATTATGAGCAATACAGTGGAAAATAAAGGATTTTTACCTGAAACTTTATCTTCTTTTACTCCCTTTGATGTAATGAATCAAAAGATTGGAGATTTGAAGTGAAAAATTGGATTGAGGGGTTTTTGGTGAGGATTTGTGTTGAAAAACAACAATGACAACAATGGTTGTGTGATCATGCAACTATTTCTTTTATTAGATTATTCCGAAGATGCATCTATGAAAATATCTGACATACAAAGGTGACATAATATTTCAAAATCTCACCCAAATTTTCGGGAATGTAGCTCCAGAATTTCTACCGGACTTATCAATAATTAATATATTTCTTAAAATATTCTAAAGATCCATCTCCAAAATAAAAAATAATCCAACCTATAAGATGTCACTTAAAATGACATGCGTTGAATATATAATTGATACATTTAGAGATATATCTCTAAAAACTAAAAGACATTTTAATATTTTTGCGTGAGGTTAAAAAACTTATAAGATGCATTAAAAAATTCTCAAATTGAGATGAAATTTTATGAAAAATAGTAACAATTGTTCACAAAAACCAAGGTAGAAAGATTTTTGAACTTGTTATCGTGGGTGTTGATTTTGTTGAAAGTGTTGTTTAGCGGCCATAGACTTTAATAATGGTTACGTATGTTGATTGAGCGGGTGAAAAATGATGATTTATGAAGTTAGAAATGTTTAAGGAGATGAAGATTTGAATGGCTTTAGGTTTGTGGGGGAAGAAGGGGTTTGGAAGGAAGAGTGTTTGCAATATGTAGCAAAACCTAGAAGTAAAAAAAGAGGAATACTTATATTATAAATTGATTAATTTAAATGTTTTTAAGATTTTATTAAAAAATTAAAAAAATTAATTTTTTTTTAAAGACACAAATACTTGACGCCACATTGACAGCATTCCGTATTAAATGAAGATGCCAGGTAGACAAAAGTAGAGGGACCGAAAAAAATCACAGAAAGTAAAATTGAGAATCTAAACATTGGATTTTGAAATAGGGAATAAATAATTTAAAACACCTAAATGGTTATGACTTGCAAGTGCTGTTAAGCTTGATCGCCCTTTCGACCAGCAACTCAGTCAAAGGTTCATGTGTTTGACATTGAAAGGTGCATGTGTTTGACATGCCTCCAGCCATGGAAGCTGGAAGCACAATCAACTACTGACTAATTACAAGTTCTGGTCAAGTGGTTGCATCGATTATGGGTTGTGTCACACATGCACCAGTGGTAATGTTCAATTTGTGCTATGAAAACAAGAAACTAACCCCAACTTCTGTACAGCTTCAATTTGTTTTTAAACCCCTAAAAGACGAAACTAAATTATACACTGTGCATCAGAAAATTAAGATATCGATGAATTCAATGAAGGAAAACAAAGATATTGAAGAACACACAAACTAACCGAGTTTAGTTGTGAATTTTTTTTAATTGCTAAGCTACTGCTAATTAAATGATCTAATTTTTCTTGACCTGCATCTTGCATAAAAAATGTGATAAATACAGAAAAATGTCTGAATGAAGTTGAAGCAGCAGTTTGATCCTCTTATCCAATCATGTATATGATCCAACACGCCAATGACAAACTTACATATCTTCATTTTAACTGGAAAAAAGAAAAAAGTAGCAAGGTAATTTAGAGGGCAGGGCTTTGTGGAGAGTTTTACTAGTCTCATATAGATATCCTAAAACAAGTATATTTCAAATAAAATGGCACTTAACCAGTAGTGTAACAATGAAGACTTACCAGGTTATTGCTTAACTTTTGAGACTGGTTTCTATGCGTTCAATTAGCTTATCCGCAGTTAATGCTCCCTCCTGAACATCATAAAGAAAAATGTTTATTTCTTACTTTAGGAAGATAGTGGCTAAATAGCCACAAACATCGTAGTTTTCTTTTATTTTGTCAAATATTCAAAACATCAATGATTTGTAGACAGTAAATGAAGTTTTATAAAAAGGGTAATGTTAACTTGTGCCCTTGGAGCACATGTTAAGAACTAAATTAAGAAACATTGTTTTGGAAATTGTGTATAAACTTTAATTAAAGTATAAAATTAATTTTTAAATCGTTTTTTCCAATGCAAATTTACTGGGTTACCAGTTATAATTATTTTGACAATATATTTATATTACTGAATGAGTGGAATACGATTTAAGATCAATGACAATTACCTAGGGATGGCAAAAGTCCGCAAAAAAAATAAGGGTGGGCCTAAAACTTTGGCCCACCCAACAAAAAAAGAGAGCGGGCCTGCGGGAATTGTACTTTTAAAGCCTAAAATTGTAAAAAAATTAAGTTAATGCCCCGCAAAATAAACGGCGCGGGCGGACATATTAGAAGGTGTGGGCCTAAAACCTTTGCCTGCCCCACGAAAAAGGGCATGCCCGGCAGGACAGGCCTCTTTTGCCACCCCTAAACACCAAACTAAGTCAAGATAAATACCATATTCCTTCATTTTTTCAAATATGATGTTGAAAGAAAACATATCAACAACAAAACATACAATACAGCCATATTTGTTATAGGCTAAAGACTAAGTTTCTAAGTTAGACATCCTTTAGATTCTTTACATTCTAACATTGCAAGCTTTAGTCAGTAGTTTCTGTAAAGATGAACATTCCAACATCATGTCTTAACCAAAATTACGAACTAGATGATTCTTTTACATGCAAGTCGTCTACAAAATGTTAACAAGAGCAAAATGATTTCACATATTTCTTATGCTGGGTTACCAATCAAATGCAGTATCATTATGGTTTGTGACTTACACAACATAACTTTTCATGTATTGAGCTTTTCGGTGAAACTAACTATCTATAAATGATACTTGAAGTTTCAACAAAATTGGAGACTAGAAGTTCAGTAAGTTAAAGAATAACTGAGAACATTGCAAATTTGCAATTACAACACCAATAATTCAAACAGTTTTATAAATAAAAAGCATCAAATTCAGTTTCAAGTTTTAAATTAAATGACATGTCATGTAATTTAAGTCATTGCAAGAAGCAGATAGAAACAAAATATAACAGAACTTACAAAGCGGTCGAAAGGTTTTCCATCCTTAAAGATGATGAAAGTTGGCAATGCCTCAATTTTGTATTTGCTGGCAATACTGGGATACTTTTCAGTATCAATCTTAACTACTTGTATCAGATCATTAAGCTGCGTGCTTACTTCCTCAAGGACGGGAACCATGAACTGACAAGGACCACACCTGTAAACCAACATTGGATTACTGAATAGATGTAATTATATATATATATATATATATATATATATATATATATATATATATATATATATATATATATATATATATATATATATATATATATATATATATATATATATATAGTTATAAGTTCAAACAGTTTAAGTATGAAATATGACCAGTTAAAGGGAAAATACTTCAAACCCAACATGAAGAGATACGAATACAATGGAAAACACGCAGGGAGAAAGTTACCAGGTTGCATAGAAGTCAACAAATACAGGCTTGTCTGAGTTAGCAAGCAAATCATCAAAAGAGGAAAATGTTTGTTTCTTTGCTTGAACCTACAGAACATAAAATCCAAAAATGCTGGTCAGTTCTCAATTGATTGTTGCAGAAGCAAGAAAGTTCAGTTTAACAGGTTTGAGTGCAAGCATGGACGGGCAATGCATATTTTTAAGGTATTTAAAACACTGACAAATTCTGGTGATGCAGGGCGCAACGCAACAATCAAATAAGGGGAGCATTTGAATAAACAACTTAATTGAGTATCTATTTGTTCATATGAGAAGTTGTGTCTTATATGCAGTGTTTTAAATAAAGGTAATGCGACCGAAATCGTAACATGACAGCAATTGAGGCTGCACGGACGCATCTTACCATGATTCTCCACAATATCGGGAATCCCGACATGATCACAATAGTAGTTTAAAACCCTACTTATAAAAGCATCTGTAATGAGGATATCTATGTGAACTTTATAGAAAGATAAACCTATTCTTTATTTTTATTTTTTCTATTGAAGGAATTTGACGTGCGTGGCAAAATGGGTAGTACAAAAACGGTAGAAGTAACTTAAATAAGGTATCGTATAATCATTATTGTTTGGTTCATAATAAAATATCCTATCATCATTAATATAAGACACCTTATTTTTTTACCATTAGAACAAAATATGGGTGGAGGAGAATGGAGGGGGGATAAAAATCATTGAAGCATAGACACCTCTGAACAAAGATGGGTTCAGTGTCCGACACCGACACAACACCAACACATGTGACTACATTCAACTTTTCAAAAAATGGACCAAGAGAAGACTTGTTTTTTTATTTGGACTTAAATAAATGTCCTTTCTTTTAATTTGATCTTAAATATGATAAGGATGGAAAAGGTAGTTTTACATTTTTCCTCCATTAAAATCCCTATCTTTCCCTATGTAGAACCAAACGTACCCTAAAAAAGAGATTCGAGGTAGATGGTAATCAAAGAGGTCCAAAAGGGTGAGCATAAATTACTGTCCTCAATATTGCTGATGTGGTAGTCGTGCAACTACAAAATCACATTTGTGACTCTATGAGGAACCACACTAGACCATTTTAGCCATGCTAGTTCAATTCTTCCCACCAAAAAAAATTAAATTTTAAAACTCCAAATCTCAATCTTCTTCTAATGTAATGAAAAATCTATGCAACTCCATCAATGAGCATCACACCAATGCTAGTGACTGCAATCACAACACTCACAACCGCATATGCGACGACCACAATCACAACACCCACAACCGCACGACGACTGCAATCACAACAGTCACAACCGCATATGCAATGACCGCAATTTAAAACCATGGTGTAAACTAATTTAAGTAGCTTTGAAAAAAAACTACAAAACAGCTTCTGAGATGTAACAAGTTATTATTTATTTAATAAATTTTTAGGAACACCTAAACAAATGCATATTTCAAGAAATAACCCAAAATAAATTCTATAGAGGTCCTATAGTCCACATCTCCATACTATACTACAATTCAGAAATGAAAGAAATAACAAGTCAAAGTATCATATCGTAAAGAGATAAAAGGAAAGAATGAAGATGTTATTGTCCAAAAATCTGGGAAAATAAATCCAACAACAAATAACCACCTCCAATAATAAATTAAAAATTAAAAAATAAAACAAAGGAAGATATTTGGTTACCAGGAATCTAGGGCGGGAAGAAGCAGGAAGACGGCGAGTACCAATTGGAAGAAAGCGAGTTCGAAGAGGAAATTGAAGTTGCGGAGAAGAAGACGAAGCTCCCACACGAGTGCTAGAGTTCAAAGAAGAGAGAGTTATGGTGGAGGAGGCTGAAATTGAAACGGCCATGGTAAGGTCAAAATGTGAGCGAGAAACAGAATAGATTGGATAATCAGAAAAATAAAAAATAGCTATTTGTTTGGAATTCGACGGAGAAATTAATAAATATATCGCAAGGAAACGAATTGGTCTGGACTTGTGTGCTGCTAACGTTTTGCTCTCATTTTCACATTCACTCATTGGCTTCTCATTCTCCGCTTTTTATATTATTTAAATTTATTTAATTAATTAATTAATTAATCTATGCATTTTTTGCATGTCTTTTTTTAAGTCATAATTTTAGCATATCCAAGGACCTAGGGTGGTAAGTGAAACAAACTTTGAGTATTCCAACTCACATTTTAATTATTCTTATATTAAGTTGTACTTCTAACTTCTTAGTGTAACATCCAATTTTAACTTAAATTATACTTTAATTTTAAATGATATAATAAGACTAGTATAATGTGAAGGTTTAATTTGAAGACTTCTCCCCAAGACTATCGCTCTAAGAGATCTCCTTTCACGTCATATTAAAGGAGAAACGAGCAAGGTGACGCCCCCAAGTTCCTTTTCACCATTGAAAGAATTTGGTCATCAAATACATTATTAACAGCAAGATCCTAAAGTCTTTAGAGAAACCATTGAATTTGAACAATTATCATAAAACTGGAGACTCGAACGAACACGTAAACACTATGCTCATTTATTATCATGTCATAAATTCAATGAAGTTTAAGTTGTTCATATTGACCCTCAAAGGAGTCATCGTGACATGGTTCAAGACCTTGGTTAAAGAAAATTGTGCGATGAGTTCACAACGAAATTCATAGCACAAAAATGTCAATCAAAGACCATAGTCAAGTTAGTATGATCCACCAAAATAAGAAGAAAATATTTAAGAATACATTTATCGGTTTACTAAAGTAGATGTCAACGACAGTCTGAAGTTTTAAACCTTCAAAAAGAGGTTGAGGACAAACTTTATGTTTCGTGAGAAGTTATGATTGAAAGTTGTATAGTGCGTGACTAATATCTTCCCTCGAGCCCCACCATACATTAACTACGGAGAGAAGTTATTAGTAGAAGATGTGGAAACAAAAAAAGATTAGGGATTCAAGTAGGTGGCATGCTAGGAAACAATAGGTGTCTGGAAGACATAGACAGAGACATGCACAAGGGTCGCACGCTAGATTATCCTCATATACACCACTAAATACTTTGAGAGAAAAAAGTAATATAGAAATCTGTCAATACTAAGTTCAAAAAGGTTGGGTTAAGGTATCCCCACCATATGAAAGAATTTACACACACACACACATATTGAAATTATGTTGTTTCCATAAAAGTGTTTACCCATATTTTTGGTAAACGGTCATTAGTCTTTAGAAATGTTACTTGCAGGATCGACTAGTAAATCATAGGTTAAATTGTGCATAAATTCTTAAAAGAGTGTTTGGTTATTTGTTGTAAAAATAGAAATAAACCTTAACTTTACAAGTAAATAAATGTAATAAATTATAAATAAAGGCAAGTGATTTCTACTATGTCGAGATTGTTGTAAAATGTAAGGTAAAAAAGACAAATGAATTTCTTGAAAAGGAAAGCGAAAAGTACTAAAAAAGATTTTGCTTAAATATGTAAATAATGGGGTGCAAGATCATACATGTTTGTTCACTGACTCGTTTCTCACTTTTGTTTGGGTACTTTGAATTTTTGGAGTTTTTGTAATGATATTGTCACCCTGAATCCTAACACTAGAATTCCTATATATACTTATACATAAATAGCTACCTGCAATGGCTCCACTCCAGTGATCGACATGTATCTCATTGCATGGTTTCCAACCTTCTATCTTGCTTCCACATGTCTTTAATGCATGGATATGACCAAAAAAAGTTACTCAATATGATTTCATCGTTCGCTCCAACGACTACTGTCGGCCGTCAACCTTTGTTGAATGCCTGAGAACGTCATCTTTCATAGTCTGAGAAAACATGCTAAGTTCCTGTTTTCAAGTTTAACATATCTTTTTCGACGACTTAAGCTAAAGATCATTTATGTTGAAACGCTATCAAACATCATTATTTCACTAAGTATTTTCTGAATCCCTTTTCCTTATATCGAGTTCATGATGTCAAAAATCTCATGCTAACAAATTGCCCCCAAAAATGCCACTTTCAACCAATTGAGAGATAATGATGTTTTTGAAACTTTTCACAATTGTGCCAAGTAGTACAGTGACGTCATTGTCGTCATGACCACTTTAGCAAAACGTCTTTTTAAGACGTGCAACCACTAAATCTCATTATGGCTCCACTTTCCCAAGAAAACGTGGTCACCAAGATTAGAACCCTTCATTCTGCCTCTGAGCGAAAAACACACGTCATTAAATTGGCGCCATTTATTCAAAAGGAAAAAGTGAAGAGTTCTTCTTCATCACTATAAATACTATTTCTCTTTGTCATTTTCTTTTCTTCTACTTTCCATCTTCTGATTTCTCAATGCAAAACCATTTTCCCCAATTGCATCCTCTTCAACACTATGCTCACTCTCTGCAACTGTGGCTCCTCCATCAAAATCAAAGAGTTCATTACCTATTGCTGCTAAAGTTAAAGTCCCCATTATTGTTGTGAACCAAGTTTATGTCTTGGAGCCACCATTGGAGGAAGAAAAGGCTAGAATCTGAAAATTCCAGGTACTCATCCCTTTCTTCGTTTCTGATAAAACTCATGCATTTTCAGGTCCACTCCATGACCCTAATGTTAAGGCTAAGAAATTGACCTGAATTAGACGAGTGTTTATCTTCGCGTTTTTCACTATGCATCCTCTACTAAGAACAAAGAGGATTATATAGCTTAGTTAGACAAAATAGAGTTAAATAAAGCACTGGTCTAGAAAGAGCAATGCCTTTATGATTTGATGCATGGTGGAAAACTTATCATATTCGACCCATCTGAGTAGCTAACAGTTTATAACTTTGGTTGGTGTTTTGAATCACAGGATTGAACACCATGTTAATTTGTTGGGTTAAGATGTTAACCATTTTGTGGTTAATTTCGTCCATCTGATGCCTAGTAGACATAAGGGATGTCATATTTAATGTCGACGTTGTTTAGGGAGGATAATTTGATCCTCCCGGTAGTGGCATCGTTCAAATGGGATTATTTATTGTCGAACCTGAGCTAGGATAGTGGTTCTATGGTGGCACAAAAACCATTGTGTTATCTGCATAAGTCAACATATTGTTGGCTCCTAATTTTGACGCCTGAACAGAGTGGAAAATAGCAAATAGAGTCTTCTGGGGAAATTTAATTACTTCGACTAAAACTATGTTTTATGGAATAAGAGTCGAGGATGGTTTTTTGTCAGGAGGTTCTATGTTTTGGACTTAGAGATACTCCTCAATAGTTAGAAGACCCAATTCGACAGAAGCGTTATTCAGTGGCGTTTTCGATAAGAGTTCATTTGAATTCAAATAAAAGAGGGAAAGTCCGTTTTGAGAAAGACACGTGGAGCATCCCGGTGGTTCGAAGGCATGTGTAGTGACACTTGTCTTGTTAGTTGTTAATAGCGGTTATGTTCGATGGTTATAAATAGCAGGTCTTGGTATTAAGATGTGTGTGCTCAATCGTGTACAAAATCTCCATTTACTCTAAGTATTTGTGTGATTGAAACAAACGAGTCGTGAGAATGTACGTTGGCTAAACACCAATTTTTATTTCAATGCAATTTAACACTTATTTTACTTAAAAGTTTACCTTTCTCTATGCAATTTATTATCCTTGTCATTTATCAGCATTTTACTTCATTTTACCGTTATTTAAATTCATCCATACTTGAAATAAGTTATCTTACCATGAAACTCATCGAAGTGTTCATGATTTTTGTAACGCCCATTTTAATTATTTTTGGTTTTTGTGATTATTTTATTCGCGGGTGTATTTTGAGAATTATTTTGGAGGAATCAAGAGATCATGATATTAATATATGGTGAAAATGGTGTGATAATTAATATTGATAGTAATATTATTATTAATTATTATTATTATTTCCCATATTAATATTATGAGAGAAATAATATTAAATGGAATTTTTGGAATAAAAGAATTATGAGTATATGAGTTATTTGGATTAAAAAGAGAATTATTGGGATGAGGGGTAACATTGCCATTTTGGGAAAAATAGAATTGGAAGCAAGCGTAAGAACACACGGTTGAATGAGGAGGAACAGAAGCGATCAAGAGTTGAAGCTTGGCAAGAAGATCATCAGGATCAATAATTCGTGTGGATTGGGGAGCTTCGACAACATCAACATCGAATTTGAGGTAAGGGGGGAGAATTTAACGGTTAATTGGCATTGCATGAAAAATTGGTAGAAAAGGGGGAAAATCCCTAACCCCCATAGAATATTGATAATCGATGTTGATTTCATGTTATTGTTGCTGTGATGATGTTGTTAAAATGTGTTTAATTGTTTGCATGTGGTTGTGTTCAATTGTTTGAGTTTTTTGGGGTTTCCGGGTAAATTCGGAGTTAATGCCGGAAGTTGATAAATTGAGCAGATACGACAATTTGTCGGATAGAATCGGGAATAGACCCCGTAACTAAGTTGTAGTATGTTGTTGGTTGTGAGTTTCGATTTAATCGGGAGAATCAGTGTGGGTAATGATTCTGCTACGCAGAATTTTTCTGATTCTGCAGGTGTTCGCCAGCCTTCGCTGGGCGAATGAGGGGCGAGCCTTCGCCAGGCTTCGTCAGGCGAATTAGCCAGCGAGTGCTGGCAGAAGCTTCTGTCTGGCTTCGCCAGAGGTTTCGCCGGGCGAATGGCAGCGAGTGTTCGCTACGGGGCTTCGCCAGGCGAACGTGCCAGCGATCCCAACAACAGCTTGTGTTTTTACTGCTGTTTTGTGGTGTTTCCTTTGTAGAACTGGACCCTCGTTGGTCATGTGCGATGATGAACTTGCTGGAGAGCTGAGGCGAGTGTATGTTGAAGGTTGTAGGGCTGTGTGGCCGGCGTTTATCACCTT